TTACTGTGCCTTTAAAAAGTCCACCTCTACTCCACTCATTAATCTAAGTTAGTAGCACCTGTCTGAGCTCTTTAAAGACACCTGTCCACCCCACAGTCAGTCGAGACGCCAACTACTACCATGGGCAAGACCAAAGAGCTGTCAAAAGACACCAGAGACAAAATTGTGGACCTCCACAAGGCTGGAAAGGGCTACGGTGCAATTGCCAAGCAGCTTGGTGAAAATGGATCAACTGTTGGAGCAATTATTAGAAAATGGAAGAGGCTAAAGACGACTGTCAGTCTCCCTCGGACTGGGGCTCCATGCAAGATCTCACCCCGTGGGGTATCACTGATGATAAGAAAGGTGAGGAATCAGCCCAGAACTACAAGGGAGGAGCTGGCCAATGACATGAAGACAGCTGGGACCACAGTTTCACAGGTCACTGTCGGTAGAACACTACGCCGTCATGGTTTCAAATCATGCATTGCACGGAAGGTTCCCCTGCTCAAGTCATCACATGTCCAGGCCCGTCTGAAGTTTGCCAATGACCATCTGGATGATCCAGAGGGAGGCATGGGAGAAAGTCATGTGGTCAGATGAGACCAAAGTAGAACTTTTTGGTCTAAACTTCACTCGTCGTGTTTGGAGGAAAAAGAAGGATGAGTTGCATCCCAAGAACACCATCCCTACTGTGAAGCATGGGGGTGGTAACATCATGCTTTGGGGGTGCTTTTTGTGAAGGGGACAGGACGACTGCATGTATTAAGGAGAGGATGAATGGGGCCATTTATTGTGAGATTTTGAGCAAAAACCTCCTTCCCAAGAGCATTTGAAGATGGGTCATGGCTGGGTCTTCCAACATGACAACGACCCGAAGCACACAGCCAGGATAACCAAGGAGTGGCTCCGTAAAAAGCATATCAAGGTTCTGGAGTGGCCTAGCCAGTCTCCAGACCTAAATCCAATAGAACATCTCTTTGGAGGGAGCTGAAACTCCGTGTTGCTCAGCGAAGCTCTGAAACCTGACAAAACTAGAGGAGATCTGTGTGGAAGAGTGGGCCAAAATCCCTGTTGCAGTGTGTGCAAACCTGGTCAGGAACTACAGGAAACGTCTGACCTCTGTAATTGCAAACAAAGGCTGCTGTACCAAATATTAACACAGATCTTCTCAGGTGTTCAAATACTTATGTTCAGCAGTGCGAGACAAATAAATTCTTTAAAAATCATACAATGTGATTTCCTGAATTTTTTTTTTTTAATTCTGTCTCTCAGAGTGGGAATGCGCCTACAATGTGAATTTCAGACCCCTCCAGTGATTTCTAAGAGGGAGAACTTGCAAAATCGCAGGGTGTTCAAATACTTCTGTTCCTCACTGTATACCACTGGTATTTTCTTAAAGTGTGTCCTCTCAGGTTTTTGTTGTCATCTGTGTCCCCATAATATCCTCTTAGAAAGACATCCCTTCTATTAATGTTTCAGTTACAGCTCAAAATGTTGGGTTTATGACAGGGGTGGACTGACCATTTGGAAACTCGGGCACTGCCCGAGGGCCCGGGATCGGTAGGGGCCCCATGAGATGAGGGGTTTTGGGAGGAACAAGTAGTATTTAGATCATCAGATTTGTCCTAGCTAATGTCCAGATCTGGTTAAGATATATAGATGATGTGTTCCTCGTATGGCAAGGAACATCTGAGGAATTAAAATTATTCCTGGAAGAGCTGAATCAGAACTCCTTTAATATTGGACTTACATACATATTTGATGAAAGATGCATTTCTTTTCTGGATCTGGAGATTAGACTTGAAAATGGAAGACTTCTCACTAAGACATATAGAAAACCCACAGCCGCCAATACCTTATTGGAGGCAAGAAGCTACCATCCACGTTCACTGATCTCAGGGATTCCTGTGGGACAGTTTTTGAGATGTCGAAGAAACTGTTCAAACATCAATGATTTTAAAATAGAAGCTCAGGACCTCTACAAAAGATTTAGAGAAAGGGGATATTCCCACTCCCAAATTAGAAATGCTCGGAGGCGGGCATATCAAACTGACCGCGAGGATTTATTATCTACCAAAAAGGAAGAAAAGGCCAAATTGAGTGATCAGCCTGTGAAAATGATAACCCAATTTGGAGCCCAGTGGCAAGATGTCAAATTGATATTGGAAAAACACTGGAAGATTCTCACCCAATGTCCCAGGTTGAGTAAGATAGTAGGTGAACGTCCCCAAATGGTAGCAAGAAGAGCACCAAATCTTGGTGATCTCCTTATTCATTCAGATTATCAACCATTAAAACAAACAACATGGCTAAAATCACGTACTAAGGGAATGTTTAAATGTGGGAAATGTCAAATCTGCAAGTATGTGGATCGCACAGATTCTTTTTATGATTCAGGAAATAATACTCACTATAAAATTCAGAGTCTTAAAAACTGCTCTACAGTAAGAGTACTATATATTTTAACCTGTCCCTGTAAAAAGATGTATGTAGGTAAAACTAAAAGACAACTTAAAGTACGAATAGGTGAACATCTTAGAGATATCAGATCTAATGACCCTGATAGTAATCTTGCTCAACATTATGCCAAATACCATGGAGGCAAATTGGATGGTACCAAAGTAAAAGGTTTCTATGCATTGCACTTCCCACAAAGGAGGGGTGACTTTGATAGAGAACTGCTTAAAAAGGAGAAATATTGGATATATAAACTTGATACACTGTACCCTAAGGGTAAATGTGGAATGTGATCTCCAAGTGTGTTTTTGGAAAAATAGATCTATGGGACTATGTACTGGTTCACTACCATGTGACGGTCAGTTGATGGCATTTTACCCCATCCCCCTTTGTGGTTGGAATTGTGATCAACTAATCTCATTAACCACACTATATACAGTGGGATTATTTATACAAGTAGGGATGATCCTATGATATGAACTTTCATGTAGCTTGTATAATGTATAAGGGTTTACGGCCTGATCAAATGGGATCTTTAGTACTTCCTTTCTTTGTACAATAATCACATTATGAGATGGCTGTTTTAAAAAAAATTGGGATATTTAGTTGTAATGACCCTTAATGAATTCTCAGGTTATATTGCCATCTTGTGGTGGTTTTAGGTAATATAGGATACCTGTTGATAATAGACATTGATTTTCAAGTAACCAGATTTGGTGAATGGAATTGTTGATTCTCTGATCTATATCACTATCTATTGGCGGGAATGTATGAAAGGCTTTAATAGATTGAGAGATATATATAATTTATGATCCATGTGATCAATATGTATATCGGTAAATAATATTCAGCCTCTCCCCTCATTGTTGACTCCAGCCGTCTGTTTTCTTTTAATTTTATAAGACCAGCAGCTGTGCTAAGTATTTAGCCTCCCCCCTTGTTCTTTCCCATTAGAATAATTGCAGGTCATCCTCTTTTGCATAAATGGGTGGGTTCTTACCCACTATAAATAGGATATTGAAATGCAGTTATCTCATTGGTCCTGACGAAGCTGAGTGAGATACGCCCATCGGCGAAACGCGTTGACGTCATAACGTCAGTTACGTCACTTCCGGTCATGCGCACTAGGTGGAACGCACGCTGGTCCATGAGGAGGAAGCCATCTTCACATGCCATGAGGCAAGTGTGAGCAGCACAAGCGCCAAGAGGGGGCTGGAGCCCGCGGTATATCGGTGGATGTCAGCGGTGGCTCCCTGGTCTCTGTGGCCGTGTATGGCAATACCCATGAAGGACATTTCTTTTATTCTCATTTTCCACAGCACAGGTGGTGAGTGGATTGTTTGCGGGACATTAGATATATGATCCTCTGTGATCTATATGATCTATATATCTTACTGAGGTAAGCTCTGTCAGTGACTTCCCACATTATTTGTTTTACTACAGGATGGGGACATCATGGTGCTTTATGTAGGACACAAGATACAACACCATATATATTTCTACAAGCAGAAGATACCTTGGATATGTCTTGTTGTTTTTTCTACAAAAGGTGGTGTGTAGTCCACAAACAGTGGTGAAGACACCATTTCAAGCAGAATGTTGCTATTTGCATCTTTTCTCCCATCCTGGGAATAACTGGGGCTTATTTTCATTCAAAAGCTCTGAGATACAGCTGTTCATATTACAGATGAATGGGCCCCAACCACGTGTGCTGGCACAGGAATGCATTGTATCATATATTGGACATTTATGTCTTTTTCCATACAGGCCCTAGGCCTATTGTTCTCCTCTTCACGCTTTTTGTGCTGCAGCCTTGCATACATGTGATATATATATATATCCATAGTAGAATTTTTGGATTCCCTTATTGGGATTCACCAGATTGATATTGTCATTTATTATATCAATATTATGGTATACTTATGGTACAATTTTTGGATACACCTCCCCATGGAAGTGTTCACCTATGTGCTTGCGCTGCAGAGGTATTAGACTCTTGAAGTCATTCTTTCTGTTGCACATGCATTTAGACCGGTCTTGATGTCATTTTATATGGTTTTAGGTCTGTGTGTTATTGTCTCATACTGAGGTGATGGGTAAACCAGGGCATATGCCCATATGTCATATCTATATATGTGTAATAAAGCATAATTTTTGGAAATTTTCTGAGTGTCACGTTCTATTCATTATGTAGCCGCTTTTCTGTGAATCTCTTTTCACAAACCCCTCTTTTTTGAAGGCCCCATGAGATGCCCCTGGTACCTTTTTCATAGGCTTTTTTGAGTTTGGGCAAGGACACAGGGGCTCCATGATCCCCTATTGCCCGGGGGCCCCATGAGTTGTCAGTCCGCCCCTGGTTTATGCATACCTTTTCAGTCCCAGTGACAGTGGTCACTAGGACAAAAAGAGAAGGTACTTCTCTCCATTAAGGACAAAGACAGCAAATAATAATAATAATAATCATCATAATCTGACAGGGATGGTAAGCCATTACTATTCTGTTCAAAACTAAAAATATTTTTAAAGCTTTCTTAACCATCACATTTTACTTTATCACACAGGGTAAAAAAAAGATCCGACTTAATCGGTGCCTTCAAACTCGACCCTGTCTACCTTCAACATGACCATCAAGAATCAGGTTGGTTAATTTATTTATGGTAAATACTTGCAAGGATATTCTTGTTCAAATATTTTATTATAATTTTAACAAAGGGAAACCACAAGGGTAAAAGACATTTTGCAGACATAAGGTCATAGACAACAGTATCTGTGGTATTTATGTCTATGGAAGGGAGGGGAGAGGTGGAAAATACTGGTACAACAGTTTGGCATTACAAATGGCAGAAGGTGAACAAAAACATTGTACGTAATTGCAAGCAAAATTTTGAAAAGAAGGAGAAACATACTCCCCAATGCTGTATAAGAGGATCGGAACATGTAGACCTGACATTATGCACGATGGCATATGGAGAGGGGTCATAGGGGAAAAGAAAGAAGGGAAACCAGGGGAGGGGGAGGAGGAGGGGAAACAAGTAGGGAAGGTCCAAAATGGGAATGGGAGGGGGAAGTGAATGACTTCACAAATGGTTACAAGAGATGGAATAATGTGTGGCACAGGTGTAAGATGGTACCATGGTAGCATTAAGTAAGGAAATTTATCATGGAGTAAGAAGTGAGTCGTCAAAGTTTGACGGGAGAAAACACTCAACCCATGGGTTCCAAACACTCAAGAATTTAGGGATCGTGTCTATAATTGTAGCTTCCACTTTAGCGTGAATCATAGCCCGTGTAACTCTATTTTTAACAACTACGATGCTTAGGTAGAGAGATTTCCAAGATTTGGCTATGACCTGTTTGGCTAGCAAGGATATTCTTACATTCATAGACACAGATTTATTCTTACTATAAGTGGAATTCTAAAATAATTACACCTTTTATTAAAACTAAAATCCAAACTAATTACATACACTTTCAATGGCTCCTTCCCTGCTTCCCAGGCTGTCCTCTCTCAGGGGACAGTTGAGGTAAAGAGATCCTTCTGTCCAGCACCTGCCAGTAGGTAGGTCCCTCCCTGGTCCCCCTCCCAAGCTCTACACTCCAGCCTCCCACTCCGTCTTCCACCTGACACTGACCACTTTCTGATCAGGATCTCTCATACTTAAGGGTTATAATTACCCCATGCCACGCCTCCTGCTTATCCCCTGTGTATGCAGATCAGCCCCTCCTCACCCCTACCCATTGCCTTCTAGAAACTTCTCAAGCTTCTAGAACAGGGGGAGATATCAGGAAACTGACCTGCAGAGCCCTCAGCCCTAAACTAAAGTTAACTTTGCTGACTCATCCCAGGCTGCTATCCAACCTCTAACAAAGAAAAGCCTAGCTAGCTCTCCCTGGCTAACTAGAGGGGGTGCTACATTCATACATTCACCCCCCCCCCCCCCTTTTTTTTTTTAAAGACTTTTTTTTGCTTCAAAGAGAACTTTAGGAGGAGCCCCTCCATTGAAAGTAACGAAGCTAAATGGTCTCCCAGCAGAATCCCAGACCAGCAAATCTGGGGAGGAAACAACAAGGTTGGAGTCCGGCCTAGTCTGCAAGCTAGAAAAGCACAGAATTTATTATTTTTTTTAAAGAACAGCAATGTCTTCTGGGCAAGAATTCTGCGTCAGTCATCTCAGCAGTAATTCTAGAGGCCCAAATTTATTCTGTAGCCTGGGTGACTCCCTATCCACCCTCCCCCCCCCCATCACCACTACTGACTCTCTCCGCTGGCTCACCTGAGGACTGGTCATCCACGTAGACTGGCTCCTTCCAGGCAGAACTGTCAGGGCTGGTGAGCGAGGCCAGTAACTCCAGGACTTCTGCTGGCTCCATCTGGGCAGCACTTGTGGCCACCAGCCCATCAGCAATATCTCCGGGTGGGCGATGGGTAACAGCTGGAAGCCATCCTCTGCTGCAAGGGTCTGCTATTGGTGCCGGGGAGTCGCGGGTCCCGGGACTCAACCCCACTCTGTCCTCCAGTCTCCAGCCATCTTCTGGCTCTCCATTCCAGTTTCTCTGACTTCTCTGTGCATAGTCCTGAGTGCAGGTCAACGGTGTATGTGTGAGGCACCAAGTCGCTGGGCATCAGCCTGGTTAGCGGCTCTCAACAATGCCCACTCTTGATCCAAGCATTGATCAAGGCTGTTGGTAGACCGGGAACGGGGGCAAAAGACATTAACTCCTTCTCCCCTAGATAGGGCAGCCATACTACCGAACTTGCAGTAGGCAACCTGCCTACATGCCACCATACAGTTGCAAGAAAAAGTATGTGAATCCCTTGGGATTACGTGGAGTTTTGCATGAACTGGGCATAAAATGTGCTCTGAATGCCATCTAAGTCACAACAATAGAAGAACACCACAGTCTGCTGAACATAATACTACACAAACATTAGATGTTGCCATGGTTTAATTGCACATAACATGTAAACATTCACAGTGCAGGGAGGAAAAAGTATGTGAGGTCCTAGCTTAATGACTTCTCCCAGAGCTAATTGGAGCCAGGAGTGAGCCAACCTTGACTCCAATCAGTGTGATGATATTGGATGTGTTGCTGACAGCTGTCCTGCCCTTAAAAAACACACACATGTTTTGGGTTTACTGGTTTCAAGAAGCACTGTCTGATGTGAACCATGCCTCGCAGAAAAGAGCTCTCAGAAGACCTACCATCAAGAATTGTTGACTTGCATGAAGCTGGAAAGGGTTACAAAAGTATCTCCAAAAGCCTTGATGTTCATGTGTCCACGGTAAGACAGACTGTCTACAAATGGAGAAAGTTTAGCACTGTTGCTACTCTCCCTGGGCGTGGTCGTCCTGTAAAAATGACTGCAAGAGCACAGCGCAGAATGCTGCATGAGGTAAAGAAGAATCCCAGAGTGTCAGCTAAAGACCTACAGAAATCTCTGGCGCATGCTAACATTTTTGTTGACACATCTACAATAAGGAAAACATTAAACAAGAATGGAGTACATGGGAGGACATCACAGAGGAAGCCATTGCTGTCCAAAAAGAATATTGCAGCACGTTTGAAGTTTGCAAAAGAGCACCTGGATGTTCCACAGCACTACTGGCAAAATATACTGTGGACAGATGAAACCAAGATTGAGTTGTTTGGGAAGAACACACAACACTATGTGTGGAGAAAAAAGGCACAGCACACCAACATCAAAACCTCATCCCCAACTGTAAAACATGGCGGAGGGAGCATCATGGTTTGGGGCTGCTTTGCTGCCTCAGGGCCTGGACGGATTGTTGTCATTGATGGGAATATGAATTCCAGAGTTTATCAAGACATTTTGCAGGAAAACGTACGACCATCTGTCCGCCAACTGAAGCTCCGCAGAGGATGGGTGATGCAACAGGACAATGACCCAAAGCATACAAGTAATTCAACAAAACAATGGCTGCAACAACACAGAATACGCCTTCTGGAGTGGCCCAGTCAGAGTCCTGACCTCAACCCGATTGAAATGCTGTGGCATGACCTTAAGAGAGCGATTCACACCAGACATCCCAAGAATATTGCTACACTGAAACAGTTTTGTGAAGAGGAGTGGTCCAAAATTACTCCAGATCGTTGTGCAGGTCTGATCTGCAACTACAGGAAACGTTTGGTTGAGGTTATTGCTGCCAAAGGAGGGTCAACCAGTTATTAAGTCCAAAGGTTCACATACTTTTTCCTCCCTGCACTGTGAATGTTTACATGTTATGTGCAATTAAACCATGGCAACATCTAATGTTTGTGTAGTATTATGTTCAGCAGACTGTGTTCTTCTATTGTTGTGACTTAGATGACGTTCAGAGCACATTTTATGCCCAATTCATGCAAAACTCCACGTAATACCAAGTTGTTCACATACTTTTTCTTGCAACTGTATGTTCCTTCCTGCCTGAATGCGTACATCGAGTCCTCAATGAAAATTACATTAGTTTCAAAAATAGAAATAGTGATGATTGCAGTATTTCCCCCAAGTGGCAAGGTCATTTTATATACCCCAGTAGTGTGTATGCATAGTGTGTACTAGCACAATAATAATTTTAATAATGTTAGCATTATAATTTGTTGGTAAGGGAGGTATTCAGAGTAAAGATAATTTCCAAAAAAAAAACATTTTCCAGTCACTGAAAACACAACTACCGCCCATAAGGAAGGTTATATGTGTGTTTAATAAGACACATAATCTCACCACTGTTTTCCAAAAAGGAACAGCTGATCAGCCTATATTTTCTATTGATGAATACACATGTCAGTTCAGATTTCCAGAGACAGCATATACAGCCTCTGTACATCATCGTTACAGTTACAGTATGTACGCTCATTGTGCCTCCCTGCGGGACAGCAAACAAAGGGATTCACAGTATAAAAAGAACAGCATCATCTTCTGATGATACTTGTCTGTCAAATGTTCAAGAAAAACAAATAGAAATGTATTACCATCGTGAGTCATGGGATGGAAAGAAGCTTTAGGGCTTGTACAGAAGCAGCCTCATTTTACCTTTCAGAAGTACTGTATATTTATTTGTATTTAAATTATAAATACAAAAAGGTATATTTTTACCTTCAAAAAAGGTAGATGATATAAATTTATATTTTTGTACAAAGCTGAAAGACCTATTTTATGACAAAGATGAGACATTATACCTCATTTGATGCCCTATGGTAAAGCCACCAGAAAGATGTACAGTATAAACAAAGACAGCATCATGTCACGCAAGAAAAAACAAATATATATTTATTAGCATTGTAAGAGGATACAAAGAAGCTTTAAGTCTATATCTTCATAGAAGCAGGTTTATTTTACCTTTACGGAATATATTTCCTATAATTGTATATATAATATTATTACTATGTGTTAATATATCTAAATACATGACATCTTTGCTACAAAATGGGTCTTTCAATTTTGTACAAAGATCTAATACGGTTCCTAATTTGATATCATTATTAATAAAGAGCAGTAAAAAAAGTTAATCCGTGAACATAGAAATGTGGTTGCTGCTGTAGCTTATGTGTTTCTAGAGTGCAATCTCTGGGGCTGTCATCCTGATCCTAGATCCCATGTTCACGAACTAGTGAGTCACTGACCTGGAACATGCAAGTAGTATAGGAATTCAGACCATACGGTTGTTGCTGGCTGCAGGCTTGCTCTAGGTCAGTGACTCACTAAGTAGTAAAGATGTGGTCAAGATGAGCGCCCTGGAGCTTACACCTTTAACCCTTTCAAGACCAGAGGTCACTGATGCAGAGATTCACAGACCACATTTAGAAGCTTGAATATATGCATCAGTTAACTTGTAAGTAACTCCAAATTGCCTACCTAAATAATTTTTATATATATTTTTTAACCACTTCCATACCGGACACTTTTACAACCCCTTCCTGACCAGGGTAATTTTCAGCTTTCAGCGCTATCACACTTTGAATGACAATTGCGCGGTCATGCCACACTGTACCCAAATGAATTTTTCACCATTTTTTTGAGACAGACAAAGCTTTATTTTGGTGGTTTTTATTCACTGCTGGGATTTTTATTTTTTTTGCTATGTAAATGATAATGTCCAAAAATTTTGAAAAAAAAGTGTTTTTTTTTTTTTAAAATTTTGCAAATAAATAATATTTCATCATAAATCTTGACCAAAATTTATTCCGTTATCTTTTTAGTAAAAAAAAAACAAAAACAAATTAGTTTATAACCAAAAATTATAATTTTTAAATATTTTTTTTTACATTTTTATTTTATTTTTTATATTATTATTTTTTATTTTTATTTTTTTTTCTACATACTGTCACCCTAGCAGTACAGTTTCACCATGGTGACACTGTACTACTTGTGGGGGGTGATGAAGATTTTTTTTTTTTTTTTTTTTTACAGTGATTGCTTTTACACCCATATAGGATGTAAAAGCAATCATTTCTCTTTCTCTCTGTCTGCATTCTTGCAGTCATTGAGAAATACAGAGTGAATAGCCTTGTACCATGTGACCTCTGTGATCATTCACAGAATTCACACGTAGTAAGCAATGATGTCACAAGTGACATCTTGCTTGCTACTTTGCATGTGATCACTGATTGGCCAATCAGTGATCACATGATCGGGACCTCGTACAGAGGTCCCGTCCGATGATCGGCGGGCACCGGATTGTGGTGCTGCGCGCTCCCAGGGAGCGCGCACAAGCAGGATGCGGGGAGGCCGTTTATAAACGGCCACCCGACCCTGCACTGCCACCGTCCGTCCGTTTATATACAACGGCCGGTCAGGAAGTGGTTAAAGACATAGATTTGGAACAATGTTTTAATAAATACCCTGCTCAGATTTATTAATATAGGTTGATAAATTTATACAAATGAAACAATTTTTTACAATTAGTGCCAAAATTACTTGTGAGCTAATATGGTGAAAATCAAAATGTGTTCTCTGCTACCCAAAATTATTTATATATATAATAAAAATAATATATATGTAAAAACAGGTTCGCTAGCACCCTACACCAACTCATAAACAGTGTTATTAACTCTATATGTTCAAACAATAGTGCAGCGCTCCCTTACTGAATAATTAATGTACTAAAAATTATATGTAAATGAGTGTACCAAAAAATATTTTTACATTTATAAATCCTACACTTGTGATTCTGAATCTACAAATGCTCTATATAATTAACCTGAATATAAGTATATTAGTGACCATAACAATATAATTATCCAATCCCATAAAACAAAAACAATATATCCCATCAACCAGTGTCCAAAATAATATTTAAATAAATAGTTCTCCAATGTTAATATATGGATTTGTTCCAACACATAAGGCGGCTTCAGGATAATTGTTCCTCTATTATGCGCTTACCTCCTTATTTGCCTACTTATTATAGGCTGAAATAGCTGTTTGTCCTATAGGGACAGATGCAAAAACTGCTACTCCTGAACTCCTTCCCAGATGGTTCCACACTGCAATTTGCTGATTATCCACCCTGATGTCTCTCCAGTGTGTGGTTTCTTATGGTGGTATAAGGATGGATGGATGGATGGATTTCCCCTTCTCACCTCCAGGGGTCTATTCCTCCTTGTATCCCCTCCAAGTCTCCACATACATGATACCTTTCTTAGTTTCGGTAAAGGTTGGTATAGAAGCTTGAATATATGCATCAGTTAACGTGTAAGTAACTCCAAATTGCCTACCTAAATAATTTTTATGTATATTTTTTAAAGACCTAGATTTGGAACAATGTTTTAATATATACCCTGCTCAGATTTAGTAATATAGGTTGATAAATTTATACAAATGAAACAATTTTTTAACTACTTTACCTCGGCACCCTATAGCAGAAATACTCCTAGAGGGTGGCAGGGGTGCACAACATCACGTATATATACGTGATTTTGCATTTCCGGGTAGGGGGTGCGTGTGAGCCGACACGCGTGCCCTACCCACGCCACCATTCGCGGACTCAGCTGTCAATCACCGGTTCCGGCCAGTGATTACTCGCCGGCACCCAGTAATTGCCGAGTAAAACCGACGGTGGGGTTGAGAACTATATGTAAACAATACAGTTCTATGTATTGCAGAGCCATACAAAGCAGTGTACTTACAGTGGAAAGCACAGACACAGCCCCATAGTAAAACTCACAGCATACAGTTACTACACTTGTTCTTAGCCAAAAGGCCGAGAAGCGATCACAGCATACAGTTAACCCTTTTATCGCCCAGATGTTAACCCCTTTCTGCCAAGTGCCATTAGTACAGTGTCAGTGCTTTTTATTAGCACTGATCACTGTATTGGTGTCACTGGGGATGTCGCTGACACCAAGTCAGTTCCTCCCCAGTGTCAGAATGCCTGCAGTCCCACTAGAAGTTGCTGATCGCCGCCATTAGTATTAAAAAAAAAAAATTCCAGTATATACTGTATACCATCATTTTATAAATGCTATAACTTTCACATAAACCAATTAATTTACACTAATTGGGTTTTTTTTTTTTTTAGCAAAAACATAGCAGAATACATTTTGCACAAAATTTATGACAAAATTTTTTTTCTTTTTTATTGGACATATTTAATGGCAAAAAGTCAACAATATTGTTCTTTTCTCAAAATTGTCAGTCTTGTTTTGTTCATAGCACAAAAAATAAACACCGCACAGCAATCAAATACCACTGAAAGAAAGCTCTATTTGTGGGGGAACAAAAGGACATAAATTAATTTGGGTGCAGTGTTGCATGACCGAGCAATTTTCAATTAAAGTAACTCAGTGCCATAACGCAAAAAATGGCCTGGTCAGGAAGGGGGGTAAATCCTCTGGAAGGCAACAATTGTAGGGCCTATGTATGTTTCTTCATTTTCATGCAGCAGAACTCTTTTGCTACATGAAAATGTATTTCAACTAGAAATCCCATTCTTTCCTATGTGGCTGATTCACATCAATGCACTGCAGTTCAGTGTGGAAGAGAAGGAATTTTATAGGCCTATTCACACCTAAGGTCAGGGGCAAACTGACAACTCATGGGGCCCCCAGGCAATAGGGGATCATGGGGCCCCTGTGTACTTGCCCAAACTCAAAAAAGCCTATGAAAAAGGTACCAGGGGCATCTCATGGGGCCTCCTACTGACCCCGGGCCCTCGGGCAGTGCCCGAGTTTCCAAATGGTCAGTTCTTTTTCAGTGCAGACATTTCTTGTTTCCAATAGTAAACCACTCCAAACAATTTATAGTGCTTTTCTTTCTTTTACTCCTTGAATTTACTTGTAATTTATAGAATGGGATAATACCTGTATCTTCTTGAAACAAGACAGTTAAAGAGGAACTTTAGTCTGAAGCAAAGGTTTTCCCCATATCACATCATTATGTAGTGATCAGGTGCTGTCAACTTCCCTGATTCAAGATTTTAAAGAAGTAGAATCAGCAAGTTTCAGAAGGAGCACTGTGAACTGTGTATATGTAACCAATAGAGTGGTCTTAGCACAGCATAGATGAGAGTGCAGCCCATTCTGTCAAGGTGATGCCTTTTGGCAATGCTACAGATACTGCTGCCCTTGGATATGATCATCACTACTGAAATACAGTAATTACAGTGCCTCTTACTTTACTAGTGGCACCCTGGTGGTAGTATCATGTCATCATTTCTGCTGCAGACAGTAGTTTTTACACTGGTCCAGGGGCGGACTGACCATTTGGAAACTCAGGCACTGCCCGAGGGCCCGGGTCAGTAGAGGGCCCCATGAGATGCCCCTGGTACCTTTTTCATAGGCTTTTTTGAGTTTGGGCAAGGACACAGGGGCCCCATGATCCCCTATTGCCTGGGGGCCCCATGAGTTGTCAGTCCGCCCCTGGTTCCTAGATGTGAGACTGCGTTATCGCTTTCTCTTCTGACGATCTGGAACCAGAGAGCGGTTTATTACCAAACAAATGTATATTGCCCAAGCTCAGTCCAACAAGGAAAACATGCTCTAACGCAAATTACCTGTAGACTGGAAACAAGTGCTCTGGCCCAAATGCCTTTGAAATGTAGCAATAATCCTCTGTTACAATGAAGCCGGCTACTCAGTGACATCCATTGTGATAATTCTTTATTGGCTACAAATCAAGATACAGGGATAAAACACTAACGCGTTTCGACTGAAGCCTTACTCATAGTATATTGCCCAAGCTGGCTGTTTTTGCTTTTCTGTGCACTCTCTGTGAAGACAAAAACCCTGAATTACTAAAAGGTAGAAAATGTTTGCATTTACAATGGATTTTATTATAGACAACACAACAACAAAGAAACAGTCAAAAGCAAGATCACTGGCACAAAAGAATAAGGTATACCATTCTTCTGATGAAGGACATAACAAATGCACTGAATTATTGACAAAGAGAGAAACTGAGTAAATAAACACAATACATAAAGAGATGGAATGAAACCTTATAAGTTGCATTAATGGCAAACAAGTAATGACCAATGAGCTAGTAGGCAAAGGCCAAAGATAATCAAAAAATTCACATACAGAGGGTAGGAAAAGCTGAGCACGGAGCCTCACTGGACGCACATCAGTACTCTACACCAAGGACTCTCGAGAAAGTTTGACAGGTATACTAAACTTTTCAGGTCAGAATATTTACTTTTTAACCAGTTGCCACCCAGCCTACAGCCAGATGGTGGTTGGGCGAACAGCTCGTCCCTCCGGGTGGACACCATATGGCGTCCTTTCAGGTATGCGCAGTGTGCCTGCCCGCAGGGCCGCTCTGCGGCGCAATCGGTCACCAGCTGTGTACCTCGTATACCCCGTTGCCGGTACCATGTGATCTGCTGTGACCAATCACAGCAGGTCACATGACAGTTATATACAATGGATGGCTTCCTTTCATGCCATCCATTGTATACAAGTGTGTCTAGCTGTGAATGGTCACAGCGATCACATGCACAAGCTGGGCCAATCACAGCCCAGCTGTGTCATGTGATTAGCCATGGCCAAATCACAGCTAAGCACAAAAAAACCCCTGAATGAATCGGTGTCATTCAGGTAAATGCTTGCTTATAGCAAAGTACCTCTTTGCTATAAGCAAATTGTGTAAAAAGAAATTACTGATCACTTCCCCAAAGTAGTACAATGTTACTATGGTAATATTATACTACTTTGTTCATACTGAAAAAAAATTCTTAAAAGAGAAAAAAATTTAATAAAAAATGAAAACTAATTAAAAAAACATTTTTAATTATTTTTTTTTTCGTACTGTTACCAGTCAGTGCCCCTGATCACCGCCATGCCAGTTATATGATGACGCTGTACTGCACTGGTGACAGTATGTAAAAAAAAATAGTGAAAATAATTTTTTTAATTTTTTCATTTTCCGAAATTATGATAAAAAAATTACAACTTCAAAAAACTCGCCATGCATCTTATGAAATACGTCGGACTGTCTACTTGGCAAAAAGGGGTCATTTGGGGGATATCTGTACTGTCCTGACATTTGGGGGATATCTGTACTGTTCCGACATTCTTGGACCTCAAGAAATTAGATTGACCGTCAGTACTTCAGGATTGATCAATTTTTTTTGATCCCATAGTTTGTGAACTCTATAACTTTCCTACAGACTAAATAATAAATACTAATTTCGATTATTCTCACCAAAGACATGTAGCAGAATACATTTTGGCCTAAATTTATGAGAACAATTATTTATTTGCAAACTTTAACAGAAACAAAGAAAAACATGTTTTTTTTTCAAAATATTCAAT